CTCTGGCTGGTCAGCTTTATTCCTGGAGGAAATTTTTACCTACTTGTCAGGGTATTTTTAACCTATGTAAACACAGAGCCTGTAGATTGCCGCAGATATGCCAGGAGTCCAGCTGAGAAATCAAGCTGTTGTCTTGATCAAAAGTCAGAGTCATCTAGTTCTGACAAAGGCAAGCATACTAGTCGGATTAAGTCTTGCTCAGTCTGGTGCTAGGCTGTTACTCCATCAGAGAGTTGAGCTTGACGCAGAGGCAGAAAGGCAAGAGAAGCAGTTTTCAGTGGCGAGACAGATCGGTTCAGCACCTTGGATAGCAGCCTATGCTTGTTGCCCTGGCTGTCCACAGCCATGGATCCTGGAATCTATAAGCCCTATTCGTTGGTTCAACTTTATTTCTAGAACTCTGCTTATCAAACACAATATGCTATTCATAAAATTAAAGATTTTTGGCAGTTGGAAAATAATTTTTCCATGATAGGAAATTCTGAATATTAAATAAGAAAGTAGTTTTGGAAATGTCCATATATCATCTTGCCTTTTCATATACACAATACTTTTAGATTCAGATCAGACTCATACTAATAAGTCTTTCTTCTTCTTTGTCCCCACTCCTCCAGCTGATAATTAAGAGCTAACAAGTACACTTTTTAAAGAAAAGATCTGTCAAATTCTCCTCACTTCATTTAGCTTTGTTTACACCATCTCTTCTTTAGAAGGTCACTAAGTCTTTACATTTTCCTTCCTTCAACTCATTTTGCATACAGCTAACATTCATGTTTCTGTGACATAAATTTGACAATGTCTGTGCCATATTATTGCCTTTATCATGTTCCTTGAAATATCTTCTTGCAGATGCTAATTGGTATTCCATGGAAAGAAAATCAATTTTCAAGTACTTGTGGAACAAGTTTAAACAAATTATTTTATCTACTTGTTCTTTTTACTACTAGAATTTTTTGTTCACTGTAGATCTCCACAGGAAGGAAAAGCACATGATATGTAGCAATTCTGAAGTATATTTGTCTACAGAACTCATATGCCACAGAACATCTATGGTTTCTCATGGACATTAGCATTCTGCAGAAACACTGTTTAAGCAAACCCAAGAGCTTAACTTTTCCATCTCACTTACCTTCTATCAAACATGCATCTCATTTCCCCATGCTATAAAAAACATTCATAATTTTCTGACATATGTATTTTTTCATACTTATAACACTGATAATAATGTTGTTCCTTCTGCCTGAAACTCTATTTCCCCTACTTTGTCTTGTGAAATCCTGTTCATGCATTTAAGGCATTGCTTCAGTGACTCTTGGTCTTTGACTATTTCCATGCCTTCCCCAAGCAGAGTTAGTTGCTCTTTCCTACATGTTCCCCTGTTCCATTTCCATTACACCAGTTTCAGATTTAGGTACTACTGGAGAGATCAGTGGTGAGCACCTGTGCTTAGGTCTCATTTTTTTCTCTTACTCTAGTAAGTCACTAAAATAATAACCCATATCTGAGACTTCTTTAAAAGACTCAAATTTTTTCAATCAACTCTATGATTTAAAAAAAATATATGTATTATTTTGGAGATCTGAAACTAGTCACTTAAGAAACCATCTCAGCTGACATTTTTAGGCAGATATTTTCAGTAAAGTCTTAATATTTTCAGTATTTGTGAGGTTTGTTAGTGTAGTCTATATATTTAATTTGATTTTTAGTAACTTGCATTTTCATAGAAAATGGTACATTTTATCCACTTTAAAAAGTATTTAGCAAGACCTTCTACAAATTATTCACTATTTTATTATCTTCTCTTTATCTGTGGTTGTTTCTACTTCCTTAGAATAAACATTTTTGAATTTACAAATTATAAAATATGACAAATATTCATGGTTTACGAAAGGGAGGGTCACTCAAAGTCCAAAAAACACACTAGGTTTTCATTCAGATTACATGACTTACTAAGTGTATAATCATGGTGAACTTTATTTGTGTTTCAATTTTATCATCTGTGGATTTATGTTAATTATAAAAACATGACAAAGAGCCTTTCGAGTAGTAACCAATCAATAATTGTTATTTATACTTATATCATTAAAAAAGCAAGAGAGTTCCAGAAAAACATCTATTTCTGCTTTATTGACTGTGCCAAAGTCTTTGACTCTGTAAATCACAACCAACTGTGGAAAATTCTTAAATGGATGAAAATACCAGACCACCTGATCTGCCTCTTGAGGAATCTGTTATGCAGGTCAGGAGGCAACAGTTAAAACTGGACATGGAACAACAGACTGGTTCCAAATAGGGAAAGGAGTACATCAAGGTTGTATATTGTCACCCTGCTTATTTAACTTATATGCAGAGTACATCATGAGAAATGCTGGGCTGGATCAAGCACAAGCTGGAATCAAGATTGTCAGGAGAAATATCAATAAACTCAGATATGCATATGACACCACCCTTAGGGCAGAAAGCAAAGAAGAACTAAAAAGCCTCTTGATGAAAGTGAAAGAGGAGAGTGAAAAAGTTGGTTTAAAACTCAATATTCAGAAAACTAAGATCATGGCATCTGGTCCCATCACTTCATGGCAAATAGATGGGGAAACAATGGAAACAGTGACAGACTTTATTTGGGGGGGCTCCAAAATCACTGCAGATGGTGACTGCAACCATGAAATTAAAAGACTCTTTCCCCTTGGAAGAAAAGTTATGACCAAACTAGACAGCATATTAAAAAACAGAGATGTTACTTTGCCAAGAAAGGTCTGTCTAGTCAAAGCTATGGTTTTTCCAGTGGTCATGTAGAGATGTGAGAGTTGGATTATAAAGAAAGCTGGGCCCTGAAGAATTGATGCTTTTGAACTGTGGTTTTGGAGAAGACTCTTGAGAATCCCTTGGACTGCAAAGAGATCCAACTTGTCCATCCTAAAGGAATCAGTCCTGGGTGTTCATTGGAAGGACTGATGTTGAAGCTGAAACTCCAATACTTTGGCCACCTGATGTGAAGAACTGACTCACTGAACAAACCCTGATGCTGGGAAAGATTGAAGGCAGGAGGAGAAGGGGACGACAGAGGATGAGATGGTTGGGTGGCATCACTGACTCAATGGACATGAGTCTAAGTAAACTCTGGGAGTTGCTGATGGACAGGGAGGCCTGGCGTGCTGCGGTCCATGGGATTGCAAAGAGTAGAATATGAGTGAGCAACTGAACTGAACTGATACTTATTATCTATTGTAGCAATTTTTATCTCCATTATTTCCCACTTTCTTAGTTAAAGCTCCTTATTTTACTTTTTAACTTCTTCATTTCTTATTTTTACAATGTCTTTCATGGAATATTTAGTGGTTTTTTTCTCTGTTCATGAAAAAACTCATTCAGGAAGTGCATTTTTCTATGATAATACCTTTAGCTTCACTTCATTACCATTTTTACTAGATTACTTTATACTCTGAGTGTAAGTTTTCATCCATTTGTGCATAATTTAGGAGTGATTTTAAGTATATTAAGAGTTGAGGGTTTTGTTGAGTTTCGTACTCTAATTTTTGTCAATGTTAGTATTATCATATCATGATTAGAATGTGTGATTTATACTATTGCTATCATGGCTATGTTTTCTCCAGTAGTCACGTATGAATGTGAGAGTTGGACTATAAAGAAAGCTGAGTAACTGAAGAATTGATGCTTTTGAACTATGGTGTTGGAAAAGACTCTTGAGAGTCCCTTGGACTGCAAGGAGATCCAACCAGTCCATCCTAAAGGAGATCAGTCCTGAGTGTTCATAGGAAGGACTGATGTTGAAGCTGAAATTCCAATACTTTGGCCACCTGATGTGAAGAGCTGACTCATTTGAAAAGACCCTGATGCTGGGAGAGATTGAAGGCAGGAGCAGAAGGGGATGACGGAAGATGAGATGGTTGGATGGCATCACTGACTCAATGGACATGGGTTTGAGTAAACTCCGGGAGTTGGTGATAAACAGGGAGGCCTGGTGTGCAGCAGTCCATGGGGTCACGGAGTCAGACATGACTGAGCGACTGAACTGAACTGAACTGATCATTTTGGAATTAACCAAGGTTTTCTTTGTAGCCTAATATCTAAGTCTGAATTCCCCCCAAAAGCAGATCCTAATGCTAAGACTCAGGCACAGGTAGTTTATTTAGGAGATGAACCCAGGAAGCAGGGGCCAGGAGACAGACAGAAAGAGATGAGGCAGGAGGAGGATGTAATAGCAGAAGCTTCACTGAGAAACTTACTTCTGAGGACAAGTGGAGCCCAGTCATTCTGAACACTCTTTAGGGAACGATACAGAAACTCCCAAATATTGTCTCCCTGAAGGACTGAATACTGCGGCTGCATCTATGCATGGGCTGAGCAACCTTTCTTTATTTCAGAGAAAGTCAGGAAATAGAAAGTCAGAGAGAGAGAATTCAACCTCTGGCAGGCCACCCACCATGTGCTTACATATTGCCTGCTGCAGCCACCACTGACATCTTGGACAGGCCTAAGCGATCTGGTATGGGAATCCATCTTGTAGGTTACACATAAAATCATCTCCATTTTTAGAGTGTGCCAATGGTAAGGATTTTTTTTTTTTTGCTTTTTTTTAAAGACGCTTGGAGTATAATTTCCAGTCTTTGCTTCTAAATTTGTATCAAGGAGAAGCTCAATACTTCACAAGGCAGACAGCTCTATTCAGGAATATATGATTGTATTGCCATTACAAAAGACAGAGGTGCAGAGGGGTAGAACCTTCTTATTTATCAAATGGTAAATAATTAATCAGATGTATTTGGCTAAGAGTTTTTTTATGTCAAAATGTAACTTGAATAGTAAAATAACTCTCTTATACTGATTATGAACAGATGGAATAGATACAATCTGAAATCATCAGCATTAATAATTAACTGGAAATGTGTTTTCCCTATTATTACAAATAATAGCAGATTTTATAGAGTAACTTATCTAGATAGAAATAATAACCCCAGCTCTCTTCTTCGTGAAAACACCAAATGGCAGATGACGCCGGTGCTGCGGGAGGGCCCGGAGGCCCGGGGGGCCCTGGAATGGGAGACCGCGGTGGCTTCCGTGGAGGCTTCGGTAGTGGTGTCCGGGGCCGGGGTCGTGGCCGAGGTCGGGGCCGGGGCAGAGGCCGCGGAGCTCGCGGAGGCAAAGCCGAGGACAAGGAGTGGCTCCCCGTTACCAAGCTGGGCCGCCTGGTCAAGGACATGAAGATCAAGTCCCTGGAGGAGATCTACCTTTTCTCTCTGCCCATCAAGGAGTCTGAGATTATTGACTTTTTCCTGGGAGCATCCCTCAAGGATGAAGTTTTGAAGATTATGCCCGTGCAAAAGCAGACCCGTGCTGGCCAGCGGACCAGGTTCAAGGCATTTGTTGCCATTGGGGATTACAATGGACATGTCGGTCTGGGTGTCAAGTGCTCCAAGGAATTTGCCACTGCCATCCGTGGGGCCATCATCCTGGCCAAGTTGTCCATCGTCCCGGTGCGAAGAGGCTACTGGGGGAACAAGATCGGCGAGCCCCACACAGTTCCTCGCAAGGTGACTGGCCGCTGCGGCTCCGTGCTGGTGCGCCTCATCCCTGCCCCCAGAGGCACTGGCATCGTCTCCGCCCCTGTGCCAGAGAAACTGCTGCTGATGGCCGGCATCGACGACTGCTACACTTCTGCCAGGGGCTGCACCGCCACCCTGGGCAACTTCGCCAAGGCCACTTTTGATGCCATTTCCAAGACCTACAGTTATCTCACCCCTGACCTCTGGAAAGAGACGGTGTTCACCAAGTCTCCATATCAGGAATTTACTGACCATCTTGTGAAGACCCACCCCAGAGTCTCCGTGCAGAGGACCCAGGCCCCAGCTGTAGCCACCACATAATTTTATAAAGAGAATAATAAAGTGAATGAAACCGGTTAAAAAAAAGAAAGAAAGAAAGTATAACCCCATAAGAAATTATATTTGTAATATTTTATGTTTGGAAGAGAAAACTTGAATGTCTCCTTTTACTTCAGAGATTTGGAATTTTTTCTTTGGTTTCAATATAACTCATTATATTATACCCTATACTACTTCTGAAAAATCATCCCACAGGGTTTTGTATTGTCCCGTGATATGATAAAGTCAGCATAAAATTAATTGTGGCAAGTTAAGAACGTGCATTTATAAAAACAGAAAGGGGAGCTAAATAGAATATATAAAGAATATCTAAAAAATATTTAGGACAGATGATGGATTAACACTGCTACTGGTAATTGGGGATCTTATGTAACATAAGATGTTACAGATGGTAGGAATTACAGATATGAAAGGTCTCACTCTGACAGCCTTTGCCAGTGTTTTTAATAAATGTCCCCTTCTAGCCTTAGACAGAGTTGAGCTGTTTGAGAAGCAGCCATGCATGGTATGCTGACTTAAACTACCTGTTATTAACTCATCTTGTAACCTCAAGATAGCTAGACCATACCTGTGGAATTGTAGTTTTCCATGTATTATGCAACTTTTTCAAAGGGTTGTCAAATTAGCATCTCAGGATTCTTGTGGTGATAAGTGAAGATCGCTGACCCCTGGATAAAAGGGAGGAGGTTCCCAGTGAAAACATCCTTCATTTCTCACCCAGAATTCAGTCACTTATTTCTCATTGCTCACTTACTGAGTTATTTACACTGAGTATTAGCCCCATGTGATAATTGCCAAGGATATGGTTATGAAAGCCAGAGAATTAGCAGTCTAGTGAGGGGACATAAATATGATTCAATTTGATAATTATTATGATAGAGATAAATGCAAAGTTATATGTTAGGAAGGACATGGGAAACCTAACCTAGCCTAATTGGTTTGGATGGAGTCAAGAAAGTTACTCTTGGCAAAGGCAGCTGAGGTTTGAAAACTAGAGGGAGACCCCCCAGACGGACCAGGGCTAAAGGGAGATTGTTTCAGATAGGAATAGCATCATGTGCAAAGGTAAAAGACCAAAAGTACCATCAGGGGCTTTGTATGGATGGAGCACATGCTTTTGTTCTCCCCTCTCCCTGGGGGGTGAGAAATAAAAGATGAGAACCCAGTGAGAGGGGAGGCCAAACCTCTTCGTGAAAGGTTAGGAGAGTGATAGGAAGATACGGAAAGACTTTGAGAAGTGACATGGTCAAATTTATGCCTTCCAGAGATTACTCTGACTTCTGTCTGGAAGGACAATCTGGAAAATATAGACTGAAGAGAGGAAACCAACAATTAGTAAGGGTACAAATAAGTATAAATGCTTATAATAGCACATACCAGGAGCTAGACTCAGTGAATTATGCATATTAACCTCTTTACAGGATCCCTACTGCTTAATAAGTCCCATTTTTACATTGGAGAAAATTGAGGCCCAAAGAAGTAAAGTGAATGATCCAGGGTCTCAGAGCTGTGAGTGGCAGGTCTGGGATTCTAAACCAGGCAGCTGAGTTCCAGAGTTCATGCTCTTAATCTCCCTGCTATGGAAATTTGCCTGTTTATGGGCTGTCACTGTGTGTAGGCAGTGGCTCAGCACTTAGCATACTTCATTATTCTTCACAGCAATGGCTCTGAGTAGGTGATAGTATTATCCCCATTTTACAGGTGAGGAAAGTGAAGCACAGAGAAGTTGGAAAAGTTTCCCAAGGGCATACAGCTTAAAAAGGTCAGACTGAGGATGGGGACCCAGGCTGTCTCATTCCAGAGCCTGTTCTTTTAATTACTGTGATCTCCCCATCAACAAGTGGTTGCTGGAATTTCAGAGAGATTCTAACTATTGAAGCAGAAACTTACCTGATATAAAGCCCTCATCCATGTTAGAAATTGAAGGATTCAGAAATAATTAAAATCATCTGGCAAGACTGGAATCTTTATTTCTTTTGACATGACCGGACTTGCTGATTTCCCTGACTAGAATCTTCCTATCTAGGTTTTTGAGGAAAAAGCTTTTTGAGGAAAGGGACCCTAAATTATTTATCCATGTATTCCAGATACATATTAAATAGGACTTAAGAAAGTTAATTAAGGCAACCCAACCCAAAAGTGTTTCAGCATAGGCAAAGAAGTCTTTGGATAAAAATAGTGTCTGACTGTTTAGGATGCTACAGCCACTAACCACATGTGACTTTGTTGTTTTTCAGTCATTCAGTCATGTCGAACTCTTTGCAACCCATGGACTGCAGCATGCCAGGCTTCCCTGTCCTTCACTATCTCTCAGAGTTTGCTCAAAATCATGTCCATTAAGTTGGTGATGCCAGCCAACTATCTCATCCTCTGTGGTCCTCTTCTCCTCCTTCCTTAAATCTTTCCTAGTATCAGGGTCTTTTCCAGTGAGTTGGCTCTTTACATCAGGTGGCCAAAGTATTGGAGCTTCAGCTTTAGCCTCAGTCCTTTCAAACCAGGTATAATTAAGTAAATTTTAAAATTTAATTCTTCAGTCCTAGCCACACTTCAAATGCTCAGTAGTTGCATATAATAACTAATGTGGTGATACACAGAGAGAGCGTTTCCATCATAGCAGAAAGTTCTATTGAAGACGAACTACATAGCCAAAAGTTCTATGGAAGAGAGCTTGCATGTTATCCAGGTATTGAAATGTCACTGACAAAACCTCCTGGGCAATTTTCCACAAAGCAGTTTTCTGGGTTCTATCCCAGACCTACTGAATCAGAATTTCTTTGCAAGGAGTCAAGGAATCCTCATTTTCCATATGTCTATATGGTTTATTTTAAGAAACACTGGCTTAGATCTTTGGACTTCCATATTGTTGCCTAAAAGCCCCTTTGTTCAAATAAAAGCCTAACTAGAGTGCCAGCAGGTAGAGAAGGATGGGTCTAGATAACTACTTGCCACTGCCTGATCTCCACGGAACACTGAAGAACAAAGACATTGAACTTCATGGTTTGAAAACTACTCATCCAGAGATTATAGGTGCTTTCCGGGAACTCCAGGGTGTTAACTCCGCAGAAAATGGGACTTCCCTGGTAGCTGAGCTGGTAAAAGAATCCACCTGCAATGCAGGAAACCCTGGTTGGATTCCTGGATCGGGAAGATCACCTGGAGAAGGGATAGGCTACCCACTCCAATATTCTTAGGCTTCCTTGGTGGCTCAGATGGTAAAGAATCTGCCTGCAATACAGGAGACCTGAGTTTGATCCCTGGGTTGGGAAGATCCCCTGGAGGAGAAAATGGCAACCCACTCCAGTATTCTTGCCTGGAGAACTCCGTGGACAGAGGAGCCTGGCAGGCTTCAGTCCGTGGGGTCATGAAAAGTCAGACATGACTGAGCCACACGTGGCCCTAAGTAAACTCAAAATTGAATCTTGAGCCTTGGGGACTCCACAGTCTAGGGACTGATATATTACAGAGCTAGGGCAAACAAAGCTTCATGAGGTGGCCAGCGGGTATGAATGGATGGTTGGGAAATGATGATGTCAGGTAATCTCTGACGACTTGACCTAGATCCAGAATAGATTTCAACTCAGGTGTGCTCAACTGTCACCCAGTCAAAGCAGAGGCACCCATGGAAGGCGAAAGGGAACCTTTTACCAAGGGGGTCTGGACACAATAATGCCTCCTGCTGGGTTCTTGAGGGTGGCACACTTTTCCACTTTTCATTCACCTGCAGTAAATCTTGTGCTTACAGTTTTATCTGTTAATGGAGTTTCCAAACTCAGTTTGCCATCTGTAAGAGATGAGGGCCATGCAACTGTGGGAGAGACAGGCATCTAGGCATTCTTATTCTTTTACCCAATGTTCAACCTAACACAGTTATTAGCATCTATGTGGAACACTTTACCCAGTGATGTCAGATCATGTCTGTAATGCTGCCACTAAAGCAAAATCCTTGTAGATGACATTTTTTCTCCTTTAATAAATTGCATGTGCTTTTGGCCCCAAGTGTTTCTTCCTCTGTGTGAGCCATGGTTGAGCACTGGTATTGAAGATCAACCATGCATAGAGATATGTTTACTGAGTCCGATCCATTGTCTTGGGTCCTTTTAGCTCTGACATTTGATAGCATGTGTGTTGCAGTAATGATGGTGAGGGCATGGAATGAACGAATGAACAAAACACAGACAGAGGGCTATTCTTTTGAATGGTTTTTATTTTCAGGGTTTCATTTGTAAACTACAGAGCATACCATATTTATTTAACTTAATCTATCAGGATGACACTTCATTAAATTAAGAAATTTTAATTAACTAATGAAGATTTCATTGTCTATTCTTTTTATGTTCACATTAGGGTAGGCCATTTTGATGACAACATTTATAGCTGTAATTAAATATTTCTAATAGGTTTAGTTAAAATTTGCAAATAATAAGGCATATTTCATCTTTATTTTATTATTCATGGCATATCCAATTTAGCCTTGTGGCAGTCACCCAGCTTTATGTGTCTTCTCTTATTTCTTTTCACAAGTCTGTGCTTCACTTCAGACAAAAGTTTGAAGTACTGATAAATCAGGGTTATAACAACCATGAAATTTATCAATGGATCCATGAGCAAAGGAAACCCTCCTTTTCCTGCTGTGGTCTGTGGAGCAAGGCCACCCCAAGTGACCACCCCACATACGTAACTCACAGCTTGATTAGCATAAATCCAGTGGGTGACAGCTTGGCATGTATCCCTGAGTGTAACACCATGCAGAAATGCCCTTTCATGGCATTCCTAAGGGAGGGTCATTCTGCTAATGTCTGTATACCCCAGTGGTGAGGAGCTTATTATTCCAAAGGAACATAGGTCAATCAGCTATTTGACATTGATTTTTAATGTAGTCTTCATATTCAACTAAAATACATCTTATTTTTACCATACCTTCATTTATTTCTGGATTTACTTTTGGGGTCTTCATTCATCATTCAAGTATTTATTTAATTTCC